GATTACCTCGTCGTTTGTAGCTTAGTAGCCCCTGGCCAAAGCCATACACGCCCACGTGGCATCGACATACACATCCATGTAGCAGCGACATACACGCCCATGTAACATACACGCCCATGTAACAGCGACATACACGCCCAGTGCATACAGCGTAATGGCTGTATGGATATCCACCCATGGATTCATTAATCAATGTTTATAACTATTTGCCAAAAACAAAATAAAACAAGTTAATTAAAAAAGTCTAGTGACATTTATGCGCAATTTCCTTATGTTATCTAAAAATAGCTCTGACGTATAATGCTGTGGTGCGTTCAAGCTAGAAGAACGATCGGTTTGTAGGTGTTTATGTAATTTTAAAATGTGTGACCGAACGAGAGGATATTTTTGAAAACTTTCTTCGGCAATATTGTTCTAAATTATGGCAGGAATCGATTGGTACATGTTTCCAGTCGCTAAGTGGTCTGGTTGCCGAGATATGGGCCAAAAACTGCATTTTTTCTAGGTTTTTTGGCTTTTCCGGGAAATACATGAAAGAAACCCGGAATTTTTATGGCCTATGCTCATTCTTGTAACTTGCTTAACATAATTGCTTTTGGAACTAGTCATCGATATTGCTTCGTTGAGGAGGAGATACGACTTAAAGCCCGGACACACATTCATCCATACATTCATTCATTCATCCATCCATTCCCAGAAATGACGAGTTAATAAACGCAATTCTCCAGAATGGAAATTGCGCTAAAAAAGGGTGAGGGGGGGGGGGGGGGCGTAAATTTTAATAAGTCGAAATGTGAAGCCAACCTTAATACTCGATTCGACTTTACGGACTTGACCTTGACCTTAAGTTTCTTGAAAGTACCTACAAGTACCTGACACCACAGTATGTCCCGTCCCTTGCCGAGGTCTAAGAAACACATCAGCTCTACTTTATCTGTCCATGCAACGCTAATAGCTGACAGGTACTTTACCTAGCTTTACCTCCACCCATCTTAGGCGTAGGTATCTATTCCGGCGCCTGGCCCAGCTGTTACTTTTGCGCCCCCCCCCCCCCCAGTAGTATATAAGGTCACATTTGACGCGTATTTCTAACGGAGGCGCAGGGTGAGGCGGAGGCTGAGGCGCAAAATCGCGATATTTGAAAACATGGTGATGTTTAACTATGCTTACAGACCTCAACCAAAAAAGTCAATCTTTCTACATGAGCGCTATCGGCGAAATTTGTTTTAAACATTTTAATACGAAACAATTTTTTTCTTTTAGTAAGGTTTTATTTATTTTGTTCTCGTTCACACTTTATGATTTTAGTCCAAAGATTTTTTTATTCTAAGTTTTTCGGTCAGAGCGATCCTCTCTGTCGGGCAAATATCTTAAAGGGCAAAGTAGACCGATAAACAAAACGCAACACCGTGTAATATACTTTGACTACTTGAGGATACGTCGTATCAATTATAACGTTAGCAACTGAAACGGAGAGTTTAACAAACTCCACTTACGGGCTAAAACAAACACAATGTCAATTACATACACACTAAATTAGTACATACACTGTTCGCTAAATGAAACTAGAAGGAAGAGGAATATATATCTTAGTCTTGCAGCAGATTACCTTGCCATGTTCGCTTTAGTATTACAGTTTTCATCAAACTTCTTTTTGACTTGAACGTCTTTAATTTAAGAAGGTTTACTTATACATAATACATTACGTCAGTGGCGTGCAGACCTATGTAGATGACCGGGGCAAACTCAGGCGGAAGATGCCCCCATATATATATATATATACATATATATATATATATACATATATATATATATATATATATATATATATATATATATATATATATATATATATATATATATATATATATATATATATATATATATATATATATACATATATATATATATATATATATATATATATATATATATATATATATATATATATATATATATATATATATATATATATATATATATATATATATATAAAGCTTAGTTACAAATAAACAAATAAGTAGTGTTGGACGTTAATATACATAGAAAATAATTTATTTAAAAAATTGTACTTATCTTAATTAAGATGAAAACGTTGACTACAGCCAGCTAAATCCAAATGGAATGAGAGGTTGGGACTTGGGGGGGGGGGGGGGCGGAAAAGGGGGAGACAATCGCGGGACGTGTCGAGGTGGGGGGGGGGCTGTGATGCACTACAAAAGAGCTTCATCCGGTTTTGTATTACCACCCGGGACCACAGGGACAAAACGTTGTCCGTGTCTACAATTAGGGCGTCAGATACGCCTTTATTTATGGGATGCTTCTCTCTTGGCCTGTTTAGGAATTCCTAAGTGTAACTAATACAGGTGAGAGTGTGCATTGAACTAGAGATGTTTCAGATTTTTTTCTCTAAACGACTTTGTCAAAACGTCAACGCTTTAAAGAGATGGGTGATGCTAGATACTCTCAAACTATCTTAACCTTGAATATAACAGAAGTGTACCTTGGTTGGCTAAAGATTGCCAGCCCTAAAAAAAAAACACTTCTACATCGGACTGTGTTTAAAAATCCACTATGCTATGTCAGACCCTCCCTAGACTTGGACGCGTTTTCCCAAATTTAACACCCAAGTACGCCTGTCTAGTTCAGGTGGGGGAAAATCCACTAACGGCTTCCATAGCCTAAAAACCCACACCGCATCCCCACATTTCATTACATCAAAATGGGCTCAATAACTCTATAGATAGCTCTACTATTAACTGAAATAAAACTGGCTCTGTATGTGCCGCCAATTACTTTAAAGAAAGCTCTACTCAGAGTTAAAATACTTTAACTTTAACACTACTTAAAGCATGCTCCTCCTATTTGTAAAAATCAATATGGGCACAATTATTCTGAATGATATCATTACAATGTATGGAAAACAATATGTTGATTCGTATTCTTGAGATTGTCGCTACAGTGTATCAAAAACAATAAGGGCATTCTAATTCTTAAGTATGCTTATATAATGCATGAAAATAAATATATACTAATGGCTGCCAGTGTCGTAGCTATCGTAAAGCTAGAGTAAGCAAGGCATAGCGGCCGAAGGTAATTAGGGTCCGTTTTTCTTCTTTTAAAAAGTTAAAACTTTTACATTGGAATTTTGATATTTATTTTATATTTATATAAATAATTTTAAAAAATGAAATCAAGTTGTTTTTTTTTCTACTGTAGAAATAATTTAATTTAAAAAAAAGGCCCAAAGTCATTTCTTAGTGTACAGGCAGTGGCATTCAGTGTGGGGGAGGGCGGGCGACTAACATTATTAACCGTGTTAATTTTTGCATAGGGGCCCGAAAATCCTAATTACGCCACTGAAGGCTGCTCATACAATTTAACAAAAAAAGGTTTGGGCGTTATTATACTACAAATGGCCATATATTTAACCAAAGATGCCCTTAAAATTTATAATAATAATATGGGCTTAATTACCCTTTGGATGCCCTTAAAATGGATCATAATGAAGAAGTACATTTTAAAAAAGCTCTAGAGATGCCCCCAATGTTAACAACGATGATTGGTGTAGTTACTGTTGCAGGTCCTTTGAGTGTTATACATGAATATAAGCATAATTACTTTCAAGATGCCCCTACAATATATAAAATGAAGATGGGCATACTTACTGTATGGATGCCTTTAAAATGTATTATAAAGTGAAGTGGGCATATTACTAAATGCTCATAAAATATATTTTAACGAATATACGAATAATTACTTTAAAGATGCCCCTACAGTGTATAAAAATAAATATGATTTAATTACTCTACGGATGTCCTTGAAAATGAGTATAACGATTACGCGTATATTACTTTAAAGATGCCCCTACAGTGCATGTGAATAATTTGGTCACAAGTACTCTAAACGATGCCCCTACACTTTACTAAATAAATATCACACACATTGATTAAGGAATATCATTGACTTCCATAGGACTACCCTTCATTGATACCCGCTTTTTCTATAAAAGTTTTGCTATACGGACAGTGTAATGTTAAAACGAGTGACAGACGATTGAGTGTTACAATTTGTTTGAGTGAGATCGCAAAACATATGGAAAGTTACGATGACACAATGACGCGACATATGGCAACAATTTTTAAATTACAAAAAAAAAAAAAAAAGAATAATTTTTCCCCCCACCTCCGCTGGATGCCCCTCAGTGGTGGTTGCCCGGGGCCTGGGCCCCATCCGCCCCCCCCCCTCTGCACGCCACTGCATCACGTCTAATTAAATTTTTTATTTTTACCACTAAATTTATTTTGTTTTTCTATATCTTGCATTGTCCTCTTAATTTTTGATCACTTAGTAAAAATGTGCTTTAGATTATAAACTAAAAGTTAAAAAAAAACAACGTTATAGTACGTCGTGTCAATTGAGACAGCGTTTAAAATGTCTACATTTAAATTTCACCAAAATAATGACGTAAAAACTAAATACAATATGACGTAAGCATACATATCATTCAATCAATTCACTCTAAGGTACACATCAATAATTTTTATTGATTAAGGGGCATGGGGGGGGGGGAGAGCACATTTAAACACAAACACAGGAACGTTAATTTATCCGAACATCACGGGGGAAAAACGTGTGTTTTAAAGCCGTAGAATAAGACAGTGAACAGAAAATATAATTATTGTTATTTTTACTCAGGCCGTTTCAGCGGAGAAGAGGGAAAGTATTATTGGGTCAATTTTGGGTATGTTCAGGTCTTGGGTCAGTTTTGGGTGTGGTGGTGTCTTGGGTCAGTAGTTTTGGTCGTGTCATGGGTCAGTTAGGGGTATGGCATCTTGGCTCAGTTTTGGGTATGGTCATGTCATGGGTCAGTTTTGGGTATGGTGGTGTCTTAGGTCAGTTTTTGGGTATTTCCTAGGTTTAATATTGAGATTAAGGATATTAAAACATATGCAACAATTTCAATTGTACCTCAACGTAAATAACAATGTGTTCTCATAATTTTTGGCTTTATTTTCAATACAGTCAATGATGTAATTGCATACAAGTATAAAACAAGCAAGCATGAATATGAATCATATCTCAGTATTGAAATATCTTCATTGCAATTGGTCCATAGTTAAAACTAGCATTACAACTAGATATGACTTGAATCTGACCAGACCTCTCCTCATTCAGTCAATGCTGTCTCTCTCGTTTACTGACGTAATATGGCTTACATCCGGTGCAACAGAGCTATGTACAAGTAATTGTTTAGAAAATAAACAATAAATATCACAGTAAGGTTCAACTCATGTACTGCAAAATATCAACATGGGAAGTTAATACAAGACTGGTAGTCATCCACTGCATTCAGAACTAATTCATTCGTCACACAAAGTGGGTTCAAATCACTCAGTCATCAGATTCTTACAGCTCCAAAGTTCATCATTCACAAATACTTTTATATTTTAGTCACTCACTGCATTCAGATCTAATAAATTCATTCACATTTCATAAATTCATCACACAAAAAGTGTGTTGAAATCACTCATTCATAAGATTACACAGCTCCAACGAATTCATCACTCACACATAATATGTAATAGTTTAGTTATCTTGTGCATTCAGATTTAATGAAAATTCATTCATCACACAGACAAAAAGTGTTGAAATCACTCAGTCATATCATTCCTACAGTTCCAACAAACTTATCACTCACAAACACTGTGTAATATTTTACTAACTCACTGCAAACAGATTTAATTCATTCATCACACAGACAAAAAGTTTTGAAATCACTCAATCAGTCCTATAGTTCCAACAAACTATCACTCACAAACATTGTGTGATATTTTACTCACTCACTGCATACAGTTTTAATTCATTCATCACACAGACAAAAAGTGATATTTTACTCACTCATTGTGTGATATTTTACTCAGTCACTGCCTACAGACATAAAAAAATATTAACACCTTTTACTGGCATCATTTTGTCCATTTGCTGTCACCCAATGTTGACAAACAAACCAAATTACTGAAACTGTTACTAGAAACAACACACCCAGTCAAATCTACAGATTCAGTGCCGTACATTTAGCCACATATACATCTTGGTTTTATTTCACATATGTTTAGTTTGTCACACACATAATCTCATATTCATTATATTTATAACATTTCACATTTTAAAACTTCACATAGGTTCAGTATGTCAGACACACATACTCTCACATGCACCAGAATATCTCATATAGATCTACATTTTAAAACACCATTTATAATTTAGTATGTCAGACACACATACTTTCACATCCACCAAAATATCTCATATAGATCTACATTTTAAAACACCATTTATAATTTAGTATGTCAGACACACATACTTTCACATCCACCAAAATATCTCATATAGATCTACATTTTAAAACACCATTTATAATTTAGTATGTCAGACACACATACTCTCACATCCACCAAAACACCTCATAAAGATCTAAATTTTAAAACCTCACTTATATTAGTATTTTAGACACACATACTGTCACATCCACCAAAACACCTCATATAGCACATTTGAAATGTCACATTCAAAATTTCATCACATACATACTTTAAGTCATGAATTTATATTTTAATTCCACACATACAATTTCACAACACATTATCTTACGTGAGTCACAATTAATCCTTGATATTCATGGAATGTTTGTCAAGTCAACTAAAGGATTTTTCATCTCATCCAAGTAAAACTTTTTACGATTTGACCTCGGAAAATGTTTATAGTCCTTCATATTGCTTGAGAGAAACACTTTAAAGGAATTTTTTTTTACAATTCAAAAATTTACATAAGAATCTTTTAAAGATGTTCAGAGTATCCTACACTTTTTGAACTTTCTCTTGCCACTTTTGCTTATATTTAAGGCGTGTCTGGTTGCTACTTCAAAAACTTCACGAATTCCATCCTTCGTACGAGCTGAGCACTCAACATAGGCAGCCGCACCAATCCTGATAGAGGAGAGAAACAGATGGGATTCATTTCAAAAGTTATGTTAAAATGTGTACAAATAATTGCATATTATAAAAAGATAAATATAGATAAATTTAAAAAAAAAGAAAAATCAGAAATGTATCTGTATTAAAAGAAGGTATTTTAAAATAAATAATCTATACCCTCAAAATAAGAAATTTGAATTCCAGTTCCATTGATGGTTTAATAAAATGTTTATAGAGAATATTTTTCCTTTATTTATGATGTTTTAAGTCCAAGGGAGAGAACTGTGAAATGAACTCTAACCCAAATAACTTATCTTAACCCAAATTGTTAATTTTACAAGTAGTAGTCATTAGTAACTTCTGGAGCTATTTGTCAACAATGTAGATCAGATAAAATCATCGTTTTTATAAAATCAACAGCACATGATTGTATTGTGTGGCTAGTGTTATGTACAATTCAGTCCAGGAACCCAAAACAGCTGGATGAGCTCAGGGAGACATGTGAGTTAAAAACTGAGTTGTAAACACCACCTCCCGTGGGAAGTAAGAACATTAACCTAATGTAACAAATATAACAAAACCCACATTTACCTCATGTAACAAATATAACAAAACCCACATTTACCTCATGTAACAAATATAACAAAACCCACATATACCTCATGTAACAAATATAACAAAAACCCACTATAATATGAAATAGTGTAAAGAAATAGTGTGTACCTATCCGCCATGGCTCGCCCCTCCTCAGCCTTGACTGGACTTTGTTTGAGTCTAGCCAGATCCTCAATGGTCCCTGGGTCGTTGCGCAGGTCTTTCTTGTTGCCAACTAGGATGACCGGCACGTTGGGACAAAAATGCTTGACCTGCGGGGTGGACAAAATCAGACATCTTTACCTGGACATTTTCCTAAGGTGTGTTATTTTAAGGTGGCGGGGAATTCAGTAACTGGTTACTTTCAGTTCTGTAATGGCTTTCAGTGGTGTAGGCACAAGGTCATTTGGGGGGGGGGGGGGGGGGGGGAGAGGGGGAGGTGGGAGAGGGAGGGAGGGTTGTAGTAAAAGTTTTAGAACCAACATCATAAAATTCTACCTGTGCCACTAACATCTGTTACAAGTTTCAAGTAGTTTATAAATAGAATGCTTGACTTACAACCTAGATGACTTTTTATGGGTACTTAATTCAGTTCAACAACATTAAACTTGTGGTGTCTAGCTCTTTATGGGTACAGTCAGTTCTACAACATTAAACTTGTCAGGTCTATCTCTCACTTAAAGCACACATACACTAGAGGGGCTTTAGTCTTCAGCTTAACACTTCTGCTGTGGTCTTATATTTCAATGTGGGCATCTAATGACTTTACATTTCTACCTTCGTCAATAGCTATAAGTTAACAATAGCTATAAGTTAACAATAGCTGTATGTTAAGGTAAGACAGCTATACCAACACCCCCCCCCCCCCCCCACCACTGCCTACGCCACTGCAAGTTTCACATCGCCATACACGTTTGCACCGAACCAAACGACGCCACCGCCTACCTCTGGCGTCCATTTCTCCGAGACATTCTCCAGACTGTCGGGATTGTCTATACTGTAACACAGGAGAATGACGTGTGTATCGGGGTATGACAGGGGACGTAACCGGTCGTAATCTTCCTGACCCGCCGTGTCCCATAGTGCTAGCTCCACCTAATCACAGAAAGAGGGAAAAAAATCTTTGCATAAATTATAATTTATCTAGTTGAATTTTTTTTGAGGTTCAGCAAATTAATCCTTTAAGGCGTGAATTAAATATATCATATAGTGAGGTAACAGTCAGTTGTCATGGGAGACGCAGGGTTAAATCAAGACGGTAAGAAGGCGAGCTCTGTTTACTGTAGTTTACACCACGAGAGAACAGAGAGAGAGAGTAGCGTCATTAGGGAGGGGGTGACCGAACCAGGTGACACCCTAGAGACGCCACTGGCACTAGCTCAGGTTGATCAAGTGACCTACACATTGCTACAGTGATGCCTTCGATTGCGAAATGAATAAGCACACAGGCAAGCTGTTTACTCGTCATATGTGTGGTGGGTGGGGGGGGGGGGAATAAAGGGTGGTTGATCTTAACCCCGGATGCTGCTATTCTAATGGATCCCGTGGTTCATTGAAGAGAAAATCACACAGCCTGTAGTAGTTTCGTAGAAACACAACAGTAGGTCTGTACGTACTGGCTCTACGTGGAATAAGAGGCCGGGGCACAAGCGTAAAACACGAACAACACACAAAGAGGGCTCAAGGTTAAAAAAATAAACACAAGTAAACCAGTCTCCACTCAAGTTCCCCCCCACCCCCTAACCCCTCAGTGAACACTAGCCTGTATAGTATACATAGACACAGACAACCAGTCAACTGTCCAATTTTCCCGCGCGATCCTCCGTGACCGCAGCTATGGGAAGATCTATGGGTGGATAGCAGATACGTAGCAGATACAGACTTGGGAATCTAAGACTTGCAAACACACATTTTCGTGGTGTGATCGTGTGAACTAGCAGGGTAGGCCTACAGCAGTTTTACAGTTGGCAACAAGTCTCCAGGAAGGTGAATCATGTGCCACAAGTATTGAAAACATTAAATTATGTCTTCAGGTAGGTGAATCACATGCCACACGTATTGAAAACATTAAATTATGTTTTCAGGAAGAAAAAATCACACGCAGCAAGTATTGAAATGAAACAATAAAACGTCTTCAGGAAGGAAAATCACGTGATACGCCTATTAAAACTTCCGGTGAAAACAGAGTTTAGAACAGATAATTAAATTAAGGAAATAATTATGTCCGATTTTTTCAGGATTGTTTTAAATTACTGGTAACATGCTGACGACGTGGTCGGATCGTAGTGCTCACGACTACTAACACTAAAGTCTCGAGTTCGGATTCCGGGCTCGAGACAATAGGAAGTCATTGAGTACATCAAGCTTAGATGGGTGTCTGAGTTACGTTAGAGGAGCCAAGGCGGCGAGACATATATCCCCCTGTATGCATGAACACACTATCCCACTGTATGCATGACCACACTATCCCACTGTATGCATGTCCACACTATCCCCCTGTATTAATGACCAGACTATCCCACTGTGTGCATGTCCACACTATCCCACTGTATGCATGTCCAGACTATCCCACTGTATGCATGACCACACTATCCCACTGTATGCATGTCCACACTATCCCATGCATGACCACACTATCCCACTGTATGCATGACCACACTATCCTACTGTATGCATGAACACACTATCCCACTGTATGCATGAACACACTATCCCACTTTATGCATGACCAGACTATCCCACTGTATGCATGTCCACACTATCCCATGCATGACCACATTATCCCACTGTATGCATGAACACACTATCCCACTTTATGCATGACCAGACTATCCCACTGTATGCATGTCCACACTATCCCATGCATGACCACATTATCCCACTGTATGCATGAACACACTATCCCACTTTATGCATGACCAGACTATCCCACTGTATGCATGTCCACACTATCCCATGCATGACCACATTATCCCACTGTATGCATGAACACACTATCCCACTTTATGCATGACCACACTATCCCACTGTATGCATGTCCACACTATCCCATGCATGACCACACTATCCCACTGTATGCATGACCACACTATCCTACTGTATGCATGAACACACTATCCCACTGTATGCATGAACACACTATCCCACTTTATGCATGACCACACTATCCCACTGTATGCATGTCCACACTATCCCATGCATGACCACATTATCCCACTGTATGCATGTCCACACTATCCGCCTGTATGCATTACCAGACTATCCCACTGTATGCATGTCCACACTATCCCCCTGTATTCATGACCAGACTATCCCACTGTATACATATTGCATAACCACACTATCCACCTTTATGTAGTGGTCATTGAAACAAATGAACTCTCTATTTATCTGATTCATCATTCTCGTGTGACTTCGGCACGAAAGTGAATAAAACAAGCTGAGGATCACACTTGGATGAGAACAACAGACAGACATGCATCGTGTCATACATGTATCACGTGTCATGTGACGTATCATGTGACGTGACATATGTGAAATAAAAAATTGACAACCGAAAAAAAACCCCAAACGATTGTGCTTTTCTAGGCATTACAATACATTTGTCTCATTGCTTCTACAGCCATAAGGCCCACAGCACTTCGTTTGTTCTTCTATTAGTGCCTGATTAACTATTCAGAAATAGATATATATTTTTTATAGACTTTGCCTCCCCCCAAACACCCTTTGAACCATTACATAGGGCGACACTCCTCAATGCACTGTTAGTCATCCTGTGTGTTGACGCTAATGATGTATTTCTATGTACAAGATAATCACGGTAATTAATGTAATACATCGAATTGTGTTTCTGTACGGGGTTTCAAATTCTCCAAGGCATTATGGCCGATTTACCTCAACTAGAGGCGGATTCATAATTAAAAATTATTTCTGACAAGATATGTTCGATGATCCATTAAATGACACCTCACCCCTCTATGGTTATCACATATGGAAGTTTAACCCAAATTCTTCTCTGACACCTCATGTACCTAATACACCCCAACCCCCACCCCACCCTCTCCGTTCTACTTGATGCCTCGAGTACTCACTTTGTTAAACCACGTAGTACCCAAACACCGTCAGCACACACACTGTACCAAAACACAAACAGACATCAGGAAACTGGTCTACGCTGCCCCCAAGGAACTGGTCTACCCCCCCCCCCCCCCCAAGGAACTGGTCCACCCCCAGCCCCAACATAAGACCTGGTGTACTCACCGTTTTACCGTCCACCACAATATCCGCCACGTAGTTCTCAAAGACCGTGGGGACGTAGACCTCAGGGAACTGGTCCACCCCCACCCCCCAGGGAAATGGTCCACCCCCCCCCCCAAGGAACTGGTCCACCCCTCCCCCCAACATAAGACCTGGTGTACTCACCGTTTTACCGTCCACCACAATATCCGCCACGTAGTTCTCAAAGACCGTGGGCACGTAGACCTCAGGGAACTGATCCTTGCTGAAGACGATGAGCAGACACGTCTTGCCGCACGCCCCGTCCCCCACAATCACAAGCTTCTTCCTTATAGGGCTCGACATGATCTCTGTAATCTCTGGGGGTTCAAACAAAAATAAAATAATATTTTTCCTTAATCAATCTTATAAATAAAAACAGCTACTTCGAAATATCGATGACTAACTGTATACAATATTTCTAAGAAAATCGACACTGTTTAAAGTATTCATTACGTAAGCTGAATACCGTGTTAAACTAAATAACACACACCCATTGAATGATATGTAAGAATTGAATGTGGTGTACAGACATGAATGTAAGACATAAGTCTACACGCTGCGGGTGTGGATTGTCTAACTGTGGTTGTATAGTCAGCTGTCGGGCCGCATGTTAATGCAGGGAGATTAAATATTGACAGGTTTAAAAAGCTGAAACGTGATTCGTTTTCTTATTATATAAACGTAGTGCAGCTTTTGTACTATATCTAGACAGTAAAGGTAAAACGAAGAAATGAGATTCGACTTTTATTTAGCTTGGCACAAATGAATTGACTTTTGTAAACGCTAACACAAAGAGATGTGTTTTTAAACAGGAGCGTGGTCGAATATTTATAGATTGGTGACGCCGCTTTCATTATGTTACACAAACATAATTGAAGTTATCTATTACATTTAGCTAACTGTAGGCCTACATTTGAGGGGCCACCGCAAGCCACTCAAGAGCGTATCGTTAATGTTAATCTTTAGTATTATAACATTTTGGTAGGTCATACAAAACGTATAAGCCAATGTGCTAGAGATTACTTTAAAATTAATAAAAATAAGGACAATTTAAATAAATAGAACAAAAAGAAGTAAAACAATTCAAACCTTTAAACGAGGACTACTACACGTGTGGTATAATTTTCCCTACACGGAAGGAACTGTTATCTTTCAGTTTGATTCAACGAACTGGGATTCCTAGGGTTTCCATGAACAGACTGATATGAAAACCTGCATACCAGCGCTATCTTACGACATACCAAGGTGACAGAGCCACGGGCCGCGTACGGGGGAGGGGGTGGGGAAGTTAGATATGACCACAAGCTGTGTGTAGTGGGTGGGGGAGGCGGATAACAGATATGAAGAGATCCGACCACAATGTTGAGTGGCATGGGAGGGAGAGGGGGGGGGGGCACGAGGAGAGATGATACAGATAAAGGAGATACAGCCAGTGCGTGATGGGGGGGGGGGGGGTGTATCTAACAACTCTTCACATGTCAGTTTTCACGGATCAGCAGATTTTTGTAGCTGACCGCCAATACACCAATACCCCCCCCCCCCCCTGCTGACCTTTGGGTTCTTGTCTTGTCCAGATTATATATGGCCTAGTTACAAATAGTAGTAGCCTAGTTTAGTTTTAAAACATGACGCACAAAAAAGGAAACAACTCTCTATCTTTTTAAACCAAAATTACACATATAATCACATGCTAGTTGATACCTTAACTTCGCTGCTTTTGGCTTGGTAAATTAACAATTAAGGGGGGAAATAGCATTAAAGTTATTGAGACACATCTAAAAACATAATTTAAAAATATGAGACTGTAGCCCTTAATCAGTCTAGATATGAACAGAATGTTTTCTCTTACATAGTTTATTCAAGACGTTATAATTTTAAACCTTTTTTTAGAGGATATCATCGCTATTTTCCAATGTTTTAGACTTTTAGAGGCTACATTTGTTGTTTCACTAATGGGCTCTTCACACGGTAAACAAATCCCCTGCCACGGGGAGTGTGACAACAGCATTAGTTGTACTTAGAGCGGGCGTGGTTGACATTCCTCAGGATTTAAACCAGACCGAAAGAGGAAGGGTAACTCGTGGGCGAAACTAGGTCAGCGACTTGCTGGCTGTCGTTGCTATCAACTTCAACCGGTGACTAATTTATTTTGAACAGCACTTTATTTTATCCCACGACTTTCGGAAACCGAACAATCATCCGATCATGTTTTAGGTTAACCGCTGATGCTAGATGTAGATCTATCGGTAATGATTAGATGAAAAATATAACTGCAGCATTGACAAGCTGCCCCGGGGGTCGTTAAATAACATCCACTAATTGCATTTAGCCGACGCAATGTCTGTAGCGCTTAGACATAAGTAGCGAAAAAAAATCGATAGCAAACGCATAAAGCATTGACAGCGTGCCAATAATTATGGGATATTAGCTGCGTGCTCGCTAGAGTGTTCTAGATACTGACATTGAAAGATAAGGAGACTAGGCGTCGAATTAAAGACTGGAAAGTATGTAGGCCATTATGAGCCACGTCCTGTAATACAACATAGAGTTCTATAGACTTTGTGGTTCCTAAAGCTGTCCCCCTCATATATATATATATATATATATATATATATATATATATATATATATATATATATATATATATATATATATATATATATATATATATATATATATATATATATACATATATATACTAGCTTATATAGGCCCATATGTGTATGTTTGTTTATAGGCTTTATACACAAACATACACATACATTTTATATATATATATATATATATATATATATATATATATATATATATATATATATATATATATATATATATATATATATATATATATATATATATATATATATATGTGTGTGTGTGTTTGTGATCCGAAGTTGTATAGCAACAGATGATACAAGAATAGGCCCACATACTTGATCTAGACCAATTTAATTTGCCTTTATTTATAACATACAATTATCCGTGAAACACAGATAAAGGTTATTTATATGTTGGAAACAATGTATAATATATAAGTTTACGATACAATTCAGTGAGATCAAATTGGACAGTCGTTAAGTCTCAATTTTGGGGCTATCAAAACATAAAGGGGGGGGGGGGGCTACAAATAAATACAACTATTAAGTACCCTTAATTCATATGTACAATACAGAGAATAATTTAAAATACCCATTTATCTGTTTTAAATGTGTCTTACCTTTTCAAGAAAATCTGGACAAACTTTTAAAAACTTCCCTGTGTAATGTCTCGTCGCTGTGACTCTAAAGGACTTTGATATGTCAACCATTCCTTCTTTTTATACTACACGCCCGATGTTTCTAAAAATAAAAAACTCATTCACGGCTTCCCATTGGTTGATATAAATCACTATTCTATTTTAAGCATCTGACATGGGGGTTTCTCAAGTATTTAGGTTACACCTCCAGCCCACATGATGTGACGATATCAAATAGCGTAGAGGAATGCAACAGGTAGACCTAGTATTATATACTTAACATTACAACTAGAGAAACAGGCAAATGTTTACATTACATGTGTATAGCCCCTCCCCACACTGTACACGGGGACGGGCATCAATACACAAATAGAAGTTTGGGTCAATTTTGACTACGGCCTCTGACCAAAGATTCACTCAGGCTACACTTTTCAAATATTACGTCACAAAACTTAATCCCACCGCCCCCCGACCCTGGAATAAAGCAATAAATGATCCCCATACCTATGACGGGGTCATAAAGCAATGGCGTCACGCTTTTTGGAACGATTTAGTTCCCCCCCCCCCCTGGTAAAAATTTCAGTTTCTGTTGTTCATAACATCGATTTTATTCTAACATATTTTCTGGGTTCGTTCAACAACACTTTACCACTTACCAAAATAGTCTTTTAAAATCCCGAAACAACAAGAGTACAATGAGTCATCTAACTTTCTGTAGAAATAGTTTGGTATTTAGCGTCCGTTTTCAGTCATGAGATCATAACAAAGTATGTTCAGATTAATGACACGTTGATTGGATGTTTAATTACACTTAACTTCTCCCCTCTCCCTTCCGTTGCCGCAGGTGTCTGCACCTCCCCACCCCACCCCATAATGAATACCTAACTCTGTTGTAATGATCCTCCCATAAACCACGTCAAACGGTTGAGATGGGGAGGGGGGGGGGGAAGAGGGGGGGGGGGGTTGGGAGGAAGAATGAAGTTTGGACTTCAGTGAGGATCAGTGACGACCAACGATTTGGCATTTAAAATTATAAAAAAATTCCAGTTTTCCCCCCACATAAAAACGGATCACTCACCACACTTAAAGTTGACCTACCTAAAGTAACATTTTACATGGGGGCGGGGGGGGGGGGGAGGTAAAGGTAGGCTAAAGCGTATAGTAATTTGTGTGTGTGTATGGTGGGGAGGGGGGAAGAGGAGAGTGAAGACAAAGTGTATCGTCATTTATGAGTGTGCGTGTGTGTGTGAGAGGGGGGGGGGGTTGACGTTTTTGTCTATGGGGGTGAGATAAAAATTAGAAAAAAAAAATGGTGATGTCAGTGATGGAAACATCCTAAGATTACCTCGTTGTTTGGAACTTAGTAGCCCATGACCACTGACATACACGCCCATGTAACGGCAACATACACGCCCTTGTAACAGCGACATACACGCCCATGTAACACCGACATACACGCCCATGTAACATCGACATACACGCCCATGTAACATCGACATACACGCCCATGTAACATCGACATACACGCCCATGTAACACCGACATACACGCCCATGTAACATCGACATACACGCCCATGTAACATCGACATACACGCCCATGTAACATCGAGATACACGCCCATGTAACAGCGACATACACGCCCATGTAACACCGACATACACACCCATGTAACACCGACATACACACCCATGTAACACCGACATACACACCCATGTAACACCGACATACACTACCATGTAACAATGACACGTGACTTTCCAACAAAACAGTAACGCTAATCAATGTTTAATGATTAATTAGTTTAATGCATAGTTTCTCCACAATTTTTAACTCTAAATGAGAGGGCTGTTTTAAAATATGTTTAAAGGGAACACATATTTTATGATTTAAAGGTGTGAATACATTACAATTAAATTCGTTATTATGTTAATTTTTAAATTACGATTGTTTAAAACAACGCTCAGTCCTAGCATAAAAAAAAACCTAACTATATAAATTACTTGAGCCACGTCATGATGGCGATTATTTCTACTTAGCGGGCAAAGGGACGTAATCAAAACAGAGTTATTTTGAAAAAACGTTCGTTATGGGTTATGTGCTCTAACATTTGTGTAAAAGAAAATTTTCTTTTTATTTTCGATTATTTAGAAAATGTGTTTCCTTTTTTTCCGATTACTTACTTACTAATATATTAATGGTTTTAAAAATATGACAAAACTCAACACCCCCGCAAATTTTAATTGCTTAATATTGAAATAGACTTCTTTAAAAGTGGAATTTACTAAGACTACAATCAACAATGCTATGCTTTGTCTATACAATATCCTAAATAAATGTATGTGTATGGGAATAGCGGAATGGTGATTCATGTAGCCCTATTGGCCTGCTTATACTGGCATCACGGCTGGTCCTGATTGCCTAAAATAGTTGCTTGAAATTTTTTATTCAACTCACCTTGTAATTTTTATACTTATGTTCGATAGAAACAGATGCTTTTAGTGTACGGAATTACACATGTGTAGGTAGACCATGTTTAACAAAGTCAATATATATATGTATATAAATGTGTGTGTGTGCGTGCGTATGTGTGTATGTATGTATGTTTGTAATTCGTAGTTATATAGCACCAGGTGATACAAAAAAAGAGCCCACGTACTAAATCAAGATCCGTTTAATTTGCCTTTTACAGCATATAATGATCCGTTAAGCACAAACTAAAAAGGTTATTTCGACATTGAGAACAAGAGTAAACAGAGTTTTACAATACAATTTAGTGAAAAGATATTCGACAACCGGGAAGTATTTTCAATCGTTTTTTTTTTTTTGCAAAAATGAAAAATGCAGTTAGCATTTAACGATTGACTTTGATAAACCTTTGCTAAACGTTAACTGCATTTCTTTTATTGCGTAGTGTACGGGATTCGAACCCGTGTAGGGAATCCCTATGTGATCTTAAGTCACACGCCTTAACCACTCGGCCAACACTACCTGAAAGGTTATGTCAAATTTAGACTAAATATAGCTAGCTTTGGATTATTAATACGTTTTGAACTTAATTAATGTAAGTTATCTTAATAAAGATTTCTAAAATTTCTAGTAGTTGCGACTCTACCGGACTTTTCTTTGTCAGCCATTCCTTCTTCTTTTACAAAACGCCCGATGTTTTAAAAAAAATAAAAACTCAATCACAGTTTCCTATTAGTCAGTACGAGCCGACCCGCTGCGTATCATACGCCGCTATTTAGTTGTTTTTTTTTCTCTACTTTTCAGTAATTTATAATTTGTGAATTCGACAGTACCAATGCTGCCACTGAAAATATTTGCTTAAAAACACTAAACCCCCCTCCCCCCCCCTCCCCAAGTGAAAGCAGCCTCCTCTTAGTTACCTCCTCTAAGTTTAAAATAGTTTCAAACTAAATTATCTGCCCCTAATAGCCGTCACCAAACCCGTCTCTATGATTATAAAATGTAAACAGCGTGACCACAGCTCACCAGACAATGTGGGGGTGGGGTGGGGGTGGTAGTGAAAGTGATAGAGAGGAAGAGAGGGGACTGCAAGGAGGCGCTTGCAGCTTGTTTTCTAACGGCTCCCAGAAGAGAATTATATATATAGATAAATCACTATTCTATTTTAAGCATCTGACATGGGGGTTTCTCAAGTATTTAGGTTACACCTCCAGCCCACATGATTTTACGATATTAATAGCGTAGAGGAATGCAACAGGTAGACCTAGTCACTTTACGTTAAAACAAGAGAGGCAGGCAAATGTTTACTTGTTTATAGCACCCCCCCCCCCAGTCTCCCCCCCCCCCCCCCCCCCGCTGTGCCCGTGAACGGACATTAAAGTAGTGATTAATACAGAAATAGAAGTTTAGCCCAGTTTGGGTCAATGTTGAACATAGGCAATGGCTTCTGACCTAAGTTTTGGGTGACACTTTTAAAATATTACATCACAAAACTTAGCCCCCCCCCCCCCCCCCCGACACACACTGAAATAAAGCAATAAAGGATCCCCGTACATAAATTTCCATTAGGTAGACCTCGTCATCCGAAGACATGCTTTTTGGGACGATTTTTTTAACCTCCCCCTCCCCATCCCCGCATAATAGCATATCTTCACAAAAAGCAAGAGCCAGTAGAGTACGCATGGCGGCCGCTTCCACTACGACCATTTTAAGGGTAGTGGCTCCTTTTTCTGAGATTAAAAAAAAAAAAAAAACCTTTAAAATAAGTTTGGCAAAACAAAATAAACACACGCAAAAAAACAACAACCTTTTAAACAAGTTTGGCAACAAAAAATAATCACACGCAAAAAAAAAACAACCTTTAAAACAAGTTTGGCAACAAAAAATAATCACACGCAAAAAAAAAAAAAAAAAAACAAAAAAAAAAAAACAACAACAGCAGCAAACACATTACTAAAACTACGAATTTAAAACAGTTACCCTGGCAGGTAATTCCTTCAAGGAGTAATGACTGGATAGCGATAATGTCCAGGGGTATTTAACAGTGATGGGGGTTATGTCTTAGACCAAGTTTCTCTAAAGATCTCTTTTCTAATTATTGTTTATAAATTTACATTTATTTCTGAACCGTTCCATATAGTAATTTTTTTTAATTTAATAGTGCTAGTATATTTAATAACTTTTCAAATTACTTATGGTAATTATTAAATTAGCTTCAATTACGCAACATTTCAATAGCTGGATAATTAAAATCTTTTTAAAAAGTTGTTCTTACAGCCGGGAAAGATCTACTTATTTGCTTGTGGAATTTAAAAAGGATTTATTGGTATAATTTTGACTATTTCTTGTTTTTCTCAAAATGTAACTTTTTATCAAAATAGTACTGGGGATGACGAAATATCTCAAAAACTATTTGAGAACTATCTTTAAAATTTCACACACATATTTAGTAACCACTGCCGTTGATAACAATGCTAAAATAAGTTGTGTAGGCCTATATTTGAAACTTTAGAAGAAAAAAATAGTTATGCCTACCTCCTATTTTTTACGATTATCTGTAAAGCAAAAAATTTGGCTAAATAATTTTAGTTCAAAATTGTTCGTGTATATCTAGGCCTATATTATTCACTGTTACGTTTTACTTTATTCTGGCTAATAGTTTTTAATAGTTGTTTTCAGAAGCGTATACAGGTCTCGGGTTAGGGGGAGCGGCGAGTCGAAAAAATCCGCCATATATATATATATATATATATATATATATATATATATATATATATATATATATATATATATATATATATATATATATATATATATATATATATATATACTAAAACTCAACTTTGTTTACATGTTTGAATATTTTATTTTTTTTCGTTTGTTTTTTTGTTTGGCTGATCGAGTATTGTGATAAGTTCTACTCTATCTGGAGAGCTGTAAAAAAAGTATGTAGGTAGAGAATAATTTTTTAATGCAGACAGACTGTTAATCACAAATTTATTTAAAGACGTTAATTAATTTATTGATTTATTCATAGGTAGATTAACCACATTTTTTAAAAAGATTAAAAAACCACTAGACTCGACGGAAACAGTGACGTCACATGATGTGTTTATTTTTTTTACATCAATAATGGCGGCCTATCGAAGAAGATTGTGTTCCCATTCCAATGTTTAACGCGTTCTAAAGCTAATTTTCTGTCGGCTTTAACTTTAACAATACGTCCGTTTGCTGTATTTATTACGTTCCAACACTTATATCAATTTTCAACTGTCTTTTTCATTTAGTTTTACGATAAATTTCTTTAGATCTACAATCTGTCCAAAAAAGTTATTTATAGATCTAGATCTAGAATCTAGGTCAAATCAAAGATTTATTAGTTATAAATACAATAAAAAAAAACGAGACTTAAGCAAACCAGTCGTAGATCTAGAATATAGATAATTCTATCTAGATTTAGATAATAATGAGTTTCTATATACTAAACTATTTTAGACCTTTATTATTTTGTATAAATCTTTGTTTGGAATATGGTAATTTTGAAATGCTGGATCCAGGGCCTATTAGCGTAGCTAATGATTAGATCTAGATCTAGATTCTAGATCTAGATAGCAAGAAAAATAATCTTAAGACTTAAGCAAACGAGTCGTAGAATCTAGATCTAGATAATTCAATCTAGACAATTTCAGACCTTCTTTATTTTATATAAATCTTTGTTTGGCTAATTTAAGATAAAATTTAATTTGAAAGTTACTGCTACTAGACTTAGTTCTAGATCTATGCGCGTAAATCAAGTTGCATAAGGAGACTCAAAGTATAGTATAAAAATTCACTTGTGACGTCACGAGTAAATAGCTAAGTTGGTAGTGTAGTCGGCTCTCATGCAGGTGGCACAGGTTCTAGACCAATATGTCAATGATATTTTTTTTCAATTTTTTTTAAGATGTGAATGATAAAGTTTCCTATCTGAACTTGGCAGGATACAGGGCAGGTGAAGTAGAGTCTCTTCTGTTTCTTTGTCCTAAGCATATGAAAAGATAGTGTGGTCAGAGACATGCTCGGCTGGAATCGTTTTTTAAACGATAAAAACATGTTGTCTGAGACTTGGCGGGACACTGGGCAGGTGAAGTAGAGTTGAGAAATTCACCAGTGACGTCAGTATATGAAGGGATAATATATTAATGGTTTTAAAAATATGACAAAACTCAACACCCCCGCAAATTTTAATTGCTTAATATAGAAATAGACTTCTTTAAAAGTGGAATTTACTAAGACTACAATCAACAATGCTATGCTTTGTCTATACAATATCCTAAATAAATGTATGTGTATGGGAATAGCGGAATGGTGATTCATGTAGCCCTATTGGCCTGCTTATACTGGCATCACGGCTGGTCCCGATTGCCTAAAATAGTTGCTTGAAATTTTTTATTCAACACACCTTGTAACTTTTATACTTATGTTCGATAGAAACAGATGCTTTTTGTGTACGGAATTACACATGTGTAGGTAGACCATGTGTAGGCGAAATGATGCCAAGCGTCGTTATGATATGATTTATTTTAAAAATCTGTAAATTTAAAATAATGTTTCTAAGTAAAACTTTGACTACATTTCCATTTCATGAGTTTAAAATCTCAATAACAAGCCTCGTATAATTAACATAATGACAGAATAACTCACCTTGATTTTCGGAAACTTTACATTTTAACAAACTGCATCAGATGATTTCCAAAAATTAGAAAGATAAAAAAAAATGTGTGTGTGAAAACTGTCTGCTGCAAAAACGTTTTCTTTTTGATGTCTTATCCAAAAGCCGGAGAATAAATTCTCACCGTGTTCCCGTTAATTTGAAGGTTCACCTATTGCGGTTAATATGTTAGTTGAAAACTGTTTGGTTGGAATGTAGCCTATGCCAAATTGAAGAAGATAATTTTCTAGCCAACCTCAGAGTTAAGTGATTCCCGAAATTTATATAAGTTTTACCATTGGTAGTGACATTTTTGCTCTGCGCTTTCGGATTTCAAGACTCGTCACAGTAAAGTTAAACTAGGATCATTCAGTACAATTATCTTTGTTGGAGATTATATGTCCATAGAGGCGTATCCAGGTTTTCGTTGTAGGGGGAGCGAAAATAGCAGAAAAAAGGCGCCGAAATTATATATATATATATATATATATATATATATATATATATATATATATATATATATATATATATATATATATATATATATATATACTAGCTGTATGTTATTGCTTTGCTACGTTGTAAAATAAATTGAAATTAGCACTCTGAAAAAAAACAAACACAATGTAGGCAGAAAATACAAAACAATGTTGGCCGACAAAACAAAAAAATGTATCACTTTAAACAAAAAAAAAAAAAAAAAAAAAATACACACACTACTACAAAAAACAACGAATGCAACATTATCCGTTTTGTAATCCTTGTAAAATAAAATTTACATAATAATTCCTTGGACATTAAGACAAGCGAAATAGGGGAAATAATCAATCTC